GGACAGTGCTGGGGAGTGGCTGGGCTGGTCACTGGCTGCTGCAAAGGTATTTTGTGTGTTCATGGCAGATGGGAAATGCTGCTTTGGGCACATGTTAATCTCTACACATTCATTTCAGTATAGAGCAGCATATTATTGTGAAAAATAGAGCAATAGGTGAAAAAAACCCTTCGAAACAAGCTTCATATCCAAAACCCCATATTGCATTTCAGGCATCACATACACCCACATACATACAGACCACTCTGCCTCTGATAAATTGAAATTTCCTCTAACAGGGTAGAGTTTTGTGCCTGATTTTAAAAAAGGGGAAGGAAGGGGGATTTAATTGTGGGTCAGTGGAAATCCAGCAAATTACTCTGAAAGCATTAGTGAGAGTGGGTATGAATCACTCCTTGCTGCTTCAGCTGAACTGCTCCAGTGTTCAGCTTCATTAATAATACAGTGGGGAAGCGGGGCTCAGCCGCAATGTCTTCTGTCACAGCCAAAGGAGAGAGTGCATCTGCAGATCTGCACAGCTGCTCTTACACCAAAGCTCTGGAAAGGACAGTTGGGTGTGTAAGAGAAGTAAACAAAATCTGTGCTTCTTGCTGTAGCTAATAGTGGTATGTGAAAAAAGGTGAGCGCACCATCCAAGGTGAAGTGAAGGTTCCCCAGGAGGAGGAAACAAATGCACAATAGAAAACACAACCTTGACATCTGCAGCAAGGCTCATACAGCAACATAACTGTGCTTGTTTGAGGAGAGGGAAGAGCAGGGCCTCCTGATATCTGCACTATCATCTCAGTCAAAGTCTCTGAGGATCCCTTAATTAACAGCTAAAAAAGCCTGAGTTTGTTCATGAAGTGGGTTACAGCAAGACGAAGGACTGCCCGGCGCCCCGCAACCTCCCAGGCCCGCTCTGCGAAGGTGCCCAGCTCCGCTGCTTGCCTGGCCTCCACCTCCCACCTGGGCATCTCCTGGGGAGGGCTGATGGATGGAGGAGGGTGATGCAGAGGGGCATAGTCCTGGCTGAGGAATTATTTCCCAGTGAGCATCCGAGCAAAGAGGGTGATGGTGGACGGAGGGATGCCAGGAGTGCCCTTAGGGTAGGGGGGAAAGTTCTGCATCCAGCAGGTGCTGAGAAAGATGGGC